ATCATTGGGTTAGGACAGATCTGTGCAGTTAGTGGACTGAAGATGCTTGAAAAGTGCAGCACCGAATGCCCCCGAGGGATGGGAGTGGAGGGCAGGGAGAAGGTGGGGTGAGGGGTCGAAGTGTAATACTACCTTCTGGTTGACTGGCAGGCTAGTTTTCATGAGACCAATTATTTGCAGTGCATAGTGTGTGTTTGTGTGTGATTGTGATTAGAGTTACCCCCAAGCAATTCATCCTTTACTGCAGGGGAGAAACTGCTCGATGGAGCACTACTCCTTCAATTTTCCCTCTTGTCTTTTTTATTTATTTTTCCCCATTCTCACTTACCCTCCCAACCTTCACCTGAACTTCAAGCTATTTTTCGTCAATCTTCCTTTATCCGTGTATTGGAGATTCAGCAATCTTATTGTATAATTGTTGATATTTTGTAGATACCTTTGATTGTGGTGCAGTTTACAATAGTCTGTGCAGGCTTTATTTTCATCTGCATTCCACCATAACATATACATTTGTGGATTTATTTTGACTAGTCCTTCATATGCTAAAAATATGCTGGGGTGAAAGTTCAGTATGATAAAGTGAACTTGCTTCGTTGACCTTGAAAATAGTTAGACATTAAATGTTTCTGCACAAGGCCCATTCACTGGAAATGTTCCAGAGCTTTCAACTTCATCTCATGGCCTAAGTTATTATTTGTTATTAAGTGCTGGGCACCCTGTATCACTAGGCAGTGTACAGGAAATAATGGAAAAACCCAGCTTGCCGTTTTCTTGCACTAGTTTGAAGGAGTGAACGGAAAAATCCTGTTCGGTCAGTGGAAATAGCCCCTGAGAGGAAATAACTTGACCATGCTAATGCCGGGTCCAGAGACGAGTGTACCACGGCCATTAAAGTGCCAGGAGAGAGATACAATCAATGAACCCACGCACTCAGTGCACCAAAGAACAGCGCAGGACGGAGCACAGAGAGGAGCTACCTGCACGCTCGTGCTCACTCAGAGTTCCTGCTCCACAGAAATACAGTGATGCAGATATTCCTCTCTGCCAGCTGTATTTGTTTCTGATTGGGCTGAGGAATGATGTCCAATCTATGCATAGTATCTCTATGCTGACTTAAGAGCAAACATTTCCTAAAATAGCCACCTGCCCCAGTCTGCACATTGGGTTACTCAGTTCAGTCATAGGGCCTAGTTAATTAGCTTCTTGTAATGATTGCAGCTACTGTAGAAGGTGAACGAGAGACATGTAGAAAAATTGAAGTATAGTATGATGTTGTAGAAGTGAAGAAGAGGAAGGACAGTTTCTTAACTGTTCAGTGTGAATAACAACATTTTTACATGCATTTCATTGGCCAAAACATGTTGTAACCCTCCCTTAATTGATTTCCCCTCTCTTTTGGATTATTTAGAGGACGGCACCGACGTCAGTAAACAATAACTGTAACGAAATCAACATGCAATATCGTTGACGAAAAGTGACAAGTCGAAAATGTAGTTTACTAAATAAAAACGTTGCCAAAATCTCTCTTCACTTTCGTTAACGAAAAAGGAGGAGACGAAATATTATCAAAGATAACGTTACACCTGATAGTCAGTTTTTCTCCCAGCTGTTCCATTTCCGGTGCCGCGGCTGGGCAGAAGTTGTGTGTCTGTGCTGCGCGCGGCGGTACATTTGAATTACACCGGGCAGTGGCACGATATGAACTGTCAGGAAGACTCAGATCTAATGAACCTTATTTAACAGAAAGGAAAATGGCAGCAACAGGGTTAACCGAATATTCCCCCTCCCCTTCAGCGCGAGTGAGTGGCGTGTTGTGTACAGACCCGACGGGTAATAATGGATTATGACAGAAATGTTACGATCCTGTCCTTCAAAATGACTGACAACGAAACAGTCTAACGCTACCACTGCTTGGGAGAAAGAAACAAGGCAATATTTCTGCCCATTTTCGCTACTATGAGGCGGAGAAAAAAAGCGAATGCATTGTTCTATCAGAAGGGAAGCAATGTGGCCATAACACAGCTGGTAAAAACACCACAAACCAGACCAGATACTCAGCATTCTTAATCATTCAACCTGTGTTTTTCATCAAATAAGGATAAGATATAATCTTATTGTGAAATAAGTCAAATTAAAATACCAAATTATTGGTTTTGGCTAGACTAGTTTGACTGAAATGTTCTATATAATCTGATGACTAAACAGTTTTCATTAACAAAAAGTAGACTAAAATAGTTAGTTTTCTTTGACTAAAATAAGACTAAAATGCCCAGACTTTTAGTCGACTAAAACTTGAATAAATAAAAACAGGAGGAAGGTGACTAAATATGACTAAAACTAACAAGGACATTTGATACAGGACTAAGACTAAAACTAAATAAAAAAATAGCTGACAAAATTAACACTAGTGGATACACAATGTTTGGTTTGAACCAGTTTTCACCAGTTTCCGTCCCTTATTCCGATAATGTTGCTTTATGCTTGTTTGTTTAATACTTCATTGATACTTAAAAGTTTATTTAGATTTGTTTTATTCCAGACAAACAATTATTTTAAATGTAAAATATTCAATGTGGCAGTAGAGGAGATTTCATGATAAAACTAATGTCTGTGGTCGCGGCCTTTTGGTTTGTTTGGAAGAGCCCTTCAGAGTTCTCCGGATCCATATTCCCAAATACACTCGGCAATTAATTGGAGCCTAACATCCTTTGAATAATGAGTGTAAATGTATTGGCCCATGCCCTTAAGGAAGAATCTGTAAAAGTACATCTAAAAAAGTAACTTCTAAGTTGTCATTCAGTCCACAGTCAACAATGTGCAATTCATCTGTTCACATGCAATAGAAACATTTGCTTTGTATATAATATTCCCAAATTCATGCAATTATATCTGGATGTAAGTAGGGTTTATTGACATGCATAAGACCACCTCTATCCTGCAAAGAAACACACATTTACTTTTGGTGCTATTGCTTCCAAAAGTAAGTAAGTTCACATCATTGTCCCTCAGCAGCTCACTTTGTGTGTCTTTGTGAGAGTAAACATTAAAGAGAGAAAGAGTTATATATCATCCTATTCTGCCGCAGAGGTTATACTGGATGCCTGCCCACCTTCTTTTTGCAACATTGTTGAAACTGTAGTGGAGGGAGCTTTAACTTTCACATAAACCTACTTTCTGCTAATCCCGTTTTTATTCATTTAAACTGATATTTCTCTCTCATTCTGGACTCCTGTAACTTTTATTTAGATCCAGTTGTGCTGTTTTTACTGTTTACAGACAAACAGCTACTGGAGCTTTGAGAAAGACGAGAACACATCCCTTTGCATCCCCTTCAACCATTTTTTATTTCGTCTATCGCATCTTGCATATTTCTTTGTCTGTTGCTCAATAATGTTTTCCTTCTCTAATGGGTCTCTTTCATCAGTCAATTCTATAATAAATGTCTTCCCCCTACCTTCTCTATCACGCTGAATCATATCTCATCTTGTTGTTTCTCTCCTCACTTACATATGTAGGAATGTAATGTGGCATGCATAGACCATACCAACCCAAATCTGTTTTGCCAGATATGTTGTGTTTTCAGGACTCGTTATCACTTATGTTGTCTTTATTTTATTTCTTAATGTTTCTGTTCCTGATGTATACCTTATGAATCCCATGGACCATGTTAAGTGTGCATGATATGATGTTGGAAGGTGTATGACACAAGGTATACACACGAAGATGAAATAGAGGCTATTTGTCATATAAATATATATCATGTGAAATGATGCAGGTGTTTAAAGTGTGTTCTTCTAAGATACTACATCCTCTTACTAAAGGGAACATTTGCACTTTTTGTAAATGATTATCGTCTTACTCATACAAGAACATTTCTTAAATATATTTTATTTCCTATTTGCACAGAGATGGTGCCGGGAGCTATGTACCTTGGTTCAGTTCAACGACTAAAACTAGTGGCAAACAGTTCGACTTGTCAGAAATGGAAAATAACTTCATCTTAATCTGCTAAATGATCAATTACGAAAATCATCACCAATTCCTTTCCGCATGTATTAAAATAGTTTATAAAACGGACAAGTCAAATCAAGCAATCTGATTGTTTCTTAGCCGTGATATACTGAGCGTATACCACGGCTAGAATTGTATGTTACTTTTCACAACAAGTCCGTATCCCTCCGCGCCTGAGAAAAACAGTATAGGCCTACAGTATAACAACAGTATACAGTTGGGCCTCCGCTTCGCGTCGGGCCGAACCACGCCCCTTAGCTGTGATATAATGAGCATATACCACGGCCTGTCGTGAGCTATTGCTTAATAAGTGCCAATAAGGCTGCTGTGTGTAATAGTTTCCGGTTTGGGTTGATGGGGGATGCTTGCAGATTACTACATTTCTGCCTCTTTGCATAATGCCTAACCTTTTTCTACATTCGCGTTTTTTGCACCACAGACAAGCGCTGGTTGCTGCATTTTTAATTGACTGTCAAACTCATGTCACAATATGCTTGCCTTGCAGTGCACTAAATCATGAAATAGGGTAAAAG